CAGGAATTCTGTGATGTCTCCTGCTTCAGCGATGTCATACGCTTTGACGTAAACACCCATATACATTACTTTGCTCATCTGTGGGAAGGAAACCCCCCAATGGCACCGCCCAATCCCACCTACAGCCAGAACGTCCAGGAATTAAAGAACAAAATTCCCCAAGCTGCCAAGAAGGAGTCGCAGGGCAGAGTTTTGAAGCTCTCGAGTTTGAAAGTTCGTATTAGGGACCTCTGGAACGCTTTGCTGAATGAAAACTTCATTTTCAGCTTCAAGAATTCCGTGGAGATTGCTGTGTACAAGAAACTGGAAACTGCCTTTAGTCAGTGGACCTGGCAGTTGAGGAGTCACATCTTAGACTTGCAAATGAGACTGGACAACAAAATTCACAATGGGAGCTTGCAGAAGGTCACTACAGAACACCTTGAAAAACTAGTGCAAGAGAAAAGTGATGCCATCACAAAGGACATGGAAGAGTATTTCAGTGAAGACAGAGACTGTGAGATACTGGTCCAGTGGAAAGGTAGCACAGAAATGAAACTGAAAGAACTAAAAGGGTCTCTTCTTCTTGAAACCAGAAAGAAGTGTGAGAATCTTATTGAACTAAAGAAGAACCACTGTAAACTGGAGGAAAGGAAATCAGACTATGAAAACGAGCTCCTGGAAAGGAGTAGGCAGTTGGCTCTGAGGCTAAAAGGCCAGAGACTAAGTGCAAGTGAACTGAGAAACAACTTTATGTCTCTCTGGGCAGCCTGGATTGCTGAAGTCTCCTCTGCTGCTCCCTCTCCGGAAGAGGTTGATATCGATGTGGAAATAGAAGATGTCCTTCTAGATCACTTTAAGGAACCTAACTTACTTACACAAATACTGACATTTCCCGAACATGGACAATTTTCTGTTGACTTGGAGAAACACATCGCTAAGAAAAAACGTTGGGGCATCTTTACTATGAGTTCTGATGATGTTGATGTGAGCAACATACACCGCATTACAGACAACATCATTGCACGTGTGATGGCAAACATTGACAAGAAGGAAAAGGAGAAAAGGGATTACAGTCGAAGTTTGATTCATGAAATACTAAATGAAGTACAGGAAGGTGTGAACTCTGTCCCTAGCAGTGCAAAATACAGTTTTAATAGCGATTACAGAATAGATCTATCACTGTATCTGTGCAGAAAGGCAGCAGAAAGGTTTAAAGCCATGCATGTAGCATTCCAGAAAGCAAATGATCCAGTCATCTACCTGGAGAGCAAGAAAGAAGATTTCTTTAAATGTTTCCAGATTTCCTGCCAAGGAGCCACTTCTATCACAACATTTGCTGTTTTCCTGTGTGACAAGATTGGCCCAGCTCTTTGCCAGGCGGTCTATGAGAGGACAGCTCTTGCCCTAGCTCGAGAAATGAAGGAGAAAATCCCAAATTTCAATGGCAATAGATCCTTTCTGGAAGTTTGCATACTGAGATACCTGGCACGCGAAGAAGATTTTGAGAAATTCAAGGAGTACCTTAATTGCCCAGGACAGTTTCTACAGAGTTACATTAAGACCCATGTCGAGAGGTACTGTTCAGGTAAGGACAGGAGGCTGGAGAATTGTCTAGATGAATCCCTTACTCACTACTATGAAAGCATCTTGTCAGCTGTTTCTGCATCAACCAAAGTCATCCAAGACAGAAAAGACAGAAATGACAAAATCTCTCTTTGGCTGGATGAATTTTGCAGTGCACTTGAAGAGGTGCTAAGCTTGCCCCGAAGGGACCTGAAGGGCATTGAGCATCAGGAGATACCAGACATGGAGTTCCTGAATAATGCCATGACAGAAGCACTGGCTCCCCTGAAAGCTGGTATCAAGGAAGATTTTGCTAGTGCTGATATGAGCTCATTTGAAAGGCAGCCTGACACAATCCTGGCTGAACAGTTTGCAGGATGCTTGGAGCAGTGTCCCTTTTGTGGGGCTGTTTGCACAAACACCATGCCGAATCATGATGGAAGACATCGGGTTGTCTTCCATCGTCCGGGAGTTTTTATGAGATGGCGGTGGTATAAAACAGACAATCTGGTCATTGGTATTTGTTCTAGTCTTGTTGCAAGTAACTGTAGATTCAGGATTGGTGAAGACACATGGATCCCTTACAAGACATACTGGAATGCAGGACCTCCTTATTCCACTTGGAACATCCTTCCTGATCCATCCATGCAAGCGTACTGGAAATGGTTTGTGTGTCATTTCAAGACAGAGCTAGAAAAAGAGTTCAATGGGAAATTCCATGGCAGAGGAGAAATCCCTGCTCCGTGGTACAAAATTACAAAGGAGGACGCACTTGCTGAACTGGAGAATGTTTAGGCCAAGCCGATACGAAGGAAGAACTGCAACTGCTTTGCATTTCAGAAGAAGATAGTACAAGTCTGTTTCACAAAATATTGTTGTAATGACTATGACCTCAAGCCACGTGAGGGAAACGGTATCCAGTTGCTCACAATGTTGGGTGAAATAAGGGGTGCTACTCCTGCCATTGCTCAGAAATTCCCTTGCTTCATGATAAAGTCAGAATCTTCCTTCCTTCTCGCCATAAACTTTTACCTCTGCTTTGTCTTACAGCAAAACAGAAGAGCATCGCTGCTGCCAGCAGCCATACGGCCAAGATTAAGACCAAGTGCAGATGAAGGGCAAAGGCAGCATTAGAAAGTACCAATTTTATCAGCTGCAATGAGAAAATGAGTGACACTGGCCAAAAATTAGTTTTCCTGCAGCAAGTACTTGTCACGCTTAAAGAAAAGGCTGTGGGATCTGAGAGTGGCTCGGCATTGGCTGCAAGCTGTGCTGTGCTGGTTTGCTTTTTGGGATTGTCATTCCCTTATCAATCCCTTGTCGATAAACGGAGCTAGTACTCAGATCAGTAGTTTTTCTGTCTCCGACGTCATGAAAGCAGTTCACACAACCACCTACGTGGATTCAGACAGTGATTTTGCTCCATGTTCATTAGGTAGACTTCGTACATTAAGGTGAGCTGCTCCAATGCATGTGCCTGGACCCGGTGAACCTTCTCCCAGCTCTTAGCCGTAATAGCGACTGCTCTTGCCATTTGTTCAGCTGTTGAGCAAAAGCCTTTGTATGACTGTCCTGGTTTTAGCTGGGACAGTTTGCTCTTCTTTTTAGCAGCTAGAAGAGCTCCGTGTTTTGGTTTTACTCAGAGGCTTGCTCTGAGAAGAATGTTGATAGCAAGTTGATGTTTGTAGTTGGCCAAGGACTTTTCAGTGTGCCGGAGTGCAGAAGCACGGCGGGATAAGGGGGGAGCATAGCCGGGACAAGGGGGCCACGATTCCCCTTGTGATTTGTGGTGGAACTTAAGATTGAGGGCCAAACTGGCCAATTAGTATTCCATATCATGCAGCGTCATGCCCAGTATAAAAGTGAGGGTCAGACGGACAGAAGGGCTTTTGCGCTTTGGCTCTTTCGCCGCTTCTGCTCTTTTGCGCTTGCTGCGCTTTCGCTCTATTGCTTTTTTTTCCCTCTCTCTTCCAGTACTCCCACTCTCGGAGTACTATCTCTCTCTCTCTCTCCCTGTCTCTATTTCGGGGCCTCGCATTCGTCTGGGATTGCAGCTTCGGGACGAGACGGGCTGTGGATAAGAGGGGGTGGTGAGCATCTACAGTGTGTATTCAATCATCTGTATTAAATTGTTCTTATCTCAA